GAGGAAAGGAAATTCGAGCTAGCTCTCCGGCTCACATCACTCTAAAATAACAAATGACAAACAAATGGCATAATTTTGAAAAGTCTTCTCATTTCTAAGCAGTCTGCCTTCCAGATCGTCGATTTGAATAGCCAAAATTTTCTAAAGTTTTGCGAATTTTCATGAAAATGGCTTGAAGTATTTTTAAGTACTTCATGTGTACTTTTAAGTAATTAATGTGTACTTTTAAGTACTTAATGAAGTACTTAATGTGATCCTGATGTCTCTTCTCACTTCAATGATTGTCTACGCGCTTCTCGTTGGTTCATTTGCACTTTAGTATTGAAAATAAAACTCCCTAACTGTCATTGAACGATAAACGACTAGAATAGGGGGTTTGGGTACGCCGAAGAATGAACGTTTGTTCTGTTCGTCGAAGAATTAACGTTCTCCACCGATCTGAGATCTGAGCACAAAGTACAAGCACTTGTTATAGTTAGAGTTAGAGTTAGAGTTAGAGTTAGAGTTAGAGTTATAGTTAGAGTTAGAGTAAGAGTTAGAGTTAGAGTTAGACTTAGAGTTAGAGTTAGAGTTAGAGTTAGAGTTATAGTTAGAGTTATAGTTAGAGTTATAGTTCGGGTTAGAGTTATAGTTAGAGTTAGAGTTATCCAAGTTAGAGTTAGAGTATTGAATACTTCAAGTATTGAAATTTTTCGTTTTTAATTTTTTCCAAATCTAATAACTTTTCTTTCTCAGCCTGACACCCATAAATTCATTTTCGGCCGTATTTTTTGCTGGCTCGAGAAAGGAAATTGAGAAAAGAAAATTTCGACTCACACTCAATTATCGGGTATCGGGAGAAATCTAATAAAAATTCGAGTTCTAATAAAATTGAATCGAGATAAGACAGGTGTTTTCTATAATGAGCTCTTCAGAATAGAGATTTTCCTGTTTTTTTTTTCTGAAAAGTAGCCATTGAATGAACGAGAGGAAGGCCCCTCACTGAGTGACGTCATTCAAGGACGAGAGGATAAGTGGCGACTTCACCTTCACCCTCGACTCTAGCCACATTTTAATGGGCTGCTCATTGAGCTCTTGTTGAAAATGGCCATCCTGGATGTCACACTAGAGAATTGATTTGTTTTGAATAAAAGTAGAATGTTTTTAAACTTTTTAAAAATTTTGAATTTGAGAATGGGCAAAAATGGGGATACAGGGTGAGTGGATTGAGTCGATTTCTTTGGCAATCGTCAAACTGGATGTCAACTTGATTGTTGCTAGAGTTTAATTGATATTTGGGAAAGTTGAAGTTTTAATAGATTTAGGCTTGGTCTATCACCTAATCTCCAAATCTCTAAATCTCCAAATCTCTCAATCGAAACCATTCCAATCCTCTAGCTTTATGCCCTCGCTTATCAAATCATCACTGTTGTCTTTTCTTTGATCATTTTCTTTTAAATCTATTCATCTCCAAAATTGTCTCTTCAATTTCTTCAATTCTTCAATTCTTCAATTATCGTTATTTGAAAATGATAGAGAAAAGAAATGAAAGAAAATGGGAAAAGGAAACACGAGGATTCGATGAGAGAAGAATGAGAGAAGAATGAGAGAAGTTCCGGGAAAACCCGATCGTTTTAAAAAAAGAAAAAAAATGGGAGAAAAGAGGGAAACCCGGGAATGATCAGTTGAAGATCTCAAGAGGGTAAAAAAACTAAAATCTAGAAAAAAAATGATCAATCTCTCCCCTACAACAACCACAAAGCATCAATCAATTGAGAAAAAACAGAAAAAACAAACGATTCTCCACCGACCGGACTCGAACCCTCGACCTCTCGAACGTCAATCACTTACTGACTTATCCACTGCGCCATGTGCGAAACCTCTTAAATTCAAGTTTTAAGATTATGAAAGTTTTCCGTGCCATCCAGGATTTACTCTTTTGATTTCATAAAGTAGAATTCTCTTTCCAGTTTTCAGAATTTCAACCAGTCCTGTAATTTTGCACAATCGAGTGCCAATTGCACAATTTTTTGACTTTTTTAGTCATTTTTTTTCTAGAACCATTGCAAAGAGGAGGGAATTTTGAAATTCTAGGAAGATTTACGTCATTTTTGAGAGCTTTCTTCTTTTATCGATAGGTTGTTGTTGTTGTTTGTTAAGAGTTTTGAGTTTGCAAAGATTTCTAGCAAAAGTTTTTAACAAGCAAAGGTTTCTAGAACCATTGCAAAGGGGAATTTTGAAATTCTAAGGATTCTAGGAAGATTTACGTCATTTTTGAGAGCTTTCTTCTTTTATCGATAGGTTGTTGTTGTTGTTTGTTCAGCTTTACGATTGGGTTATGGTTTAAATTTGGGCACAGTTTTTGTCGATCTGGAACTCGAAACAACATACTGTACAGGGTTACTGTAACTTTATGAGGAACTTTAAAGGTTACGAGTTTCGCAAGAAGCTAGACTTTGTCGCTTACTGTATGAGATACTTTGTACAAGTTATTGTAGCTTTATCGAGTTATAGCTTCAAAGATTATTAAACAGTGGCCTTTGGAACGCCAGTGCCAAGTATGATTACAGTTTTAAGCACAGGATTACTATAGCTTTATGGAATGCTGTCGCTTGTTGTTTGGTTGTTGTTGTTTGGTTGTTGTTGTTTGGTTGATGTTGTTGTTGTTGTTTGTTAAGAGTTTTGAGTTTGCAACGGTTTCTAGCAAAGTTTTCTAACAAGCAAAGGTCTAGCAAAGGTTTCTAGAATCATTGCAAAGCGGTATTTTGAAATTCTAAGAATTCTAAGAAGATTTTTAGGCATTTTTGAGAGCTTTCTTCTTTTATCGATAGGTTGTTGTTGTTTTTTGTTCAGAGTTTTGAGTTTTTCAAAAAATTCTTTTAAATTCTCAAATCTTTTCATCTTTTTAGCTAAGATGATATCCAGATTGCATAAAAAAATCGTTAACTTTTTTTGAAATTTCAAATTTCAGCTACTTTCCTTGCCCAACTCGAATTTGATCAATGAAAGCAATGAAATTAGTGAAATTTTGAGAGCTTCTAATTAAATTGTTTGTTAAAAATGTTAAAAATTTGCGTAATTTTTGGGTTTTATTGATTTTGGCACTTTTTAAAAGAAATTCTCGTATTATTTTGTTGTTGTTGTGTGGGAACGAGCGGAACTCTCACATCCCAAAAAATCAACAACAACACTTTCTCACTCAAAAAGAAATTTTTGTTATTTTTGTTATTTCTTTTGCGTTTTCTGGAACGCAGCATCCAATTTGACCATTTTTTATTTTCCCCTCCTCAAAGGGGAGTCCCCTTATCTGACAGAAAGGGGTTGCCCTCCTCTATCGCTCTCACAGCATCCCTTTCCCATTCCTCTTCTCAGTCTTCTCTTTTCTGGAACGCACCCTGTCCTCTCCACTCATTTCTCCACTATTTTCACCTGTTTACATCTTTTTCGTTTGCTTGTGACGTGAGGGAAAATCGCTCGATATTCGAGAGATTAGGAAATGATTGAGAGAAATTGGGAAAGATTGGGAAAGAGGAGAGAAAAGCCTTTGAGCAGAGAAAGAGAAGAGAAAGCCTTTAAGTAGAGGAATAGGAGAGAAAAGCCTTTGAGCAGAGAAATAGGAAAAGGTTGGGAAAGAGGAGAGAAATCCTTTGAGCAAGAGAAATTGGAAAAGATTGAGAAAGATGAGAGAAAAGCCTTTGAGCAGAGAAAGAGGAGAGAAAGCCTTTGAGCAGAGAAAGGAAAAGAAAAGAAAAGAGGCCGTGACACTCTCTTTTCAAGTCATATGAGCTGCGGAGTAGAGAGAAGAGAATCGAGTGAAAAAAGGAGAAACAGAATGGAAAAGAGATGTCACAAGACGGTGAGAGTGAATGCTGGAGTACATTCGAGAAGAGGGTTTCGACATCGGGGCAAAAGACAGCAAAAGGGATCATTCGGGTTAGCGGGAGTGCAGCAATTGGGGTAGAGATGAGATGGTGAAACGCTGAGAAATAGTCCGAAAAGGGAAGAGACAGCTGGTGTGCGCTCCAGAAAGAACGAAAAGAGGCGAAACGGGGTGGGGGTGTGCTGAGAATAGCGCGGGCCGGCCCCCCTTCTCTTTTCAGTCGTACTATTCCTTCTCCCATCCAATTCCCCTTCCCTTCCATTCCCCATCCATTCCCTTCCATTCCCCATTCCCAACCACCTCGAAAGTCGAATGTGTGCAATCCAATTTTGAGCTTTTTCATCTTCTCTCCTTCAATTTGATACAAGTTTTCTAAAAATAAAGCTACTGATCAAGATCTTAAAGATTTAAGCTCAACTATAGTATTTTAAAATAATCTAATCTCATAGTTACTCATCCTGGATGTCACACTAAACTTTTGTCAGAAAAACTTTGAAAGTTATCATAAATTTTTCCAAATGTCTAACCACCAATACTTACCCAGCCTACCCTAGACTACCCGAATGTCTAAATGACTCTAAAATCTTTTTGCTGTCCAATCTGGAACGCACTTTACCCATTACACAATTTACCGAACAATTTCTAAAGCTTTAAAAAAAGTCCAGTTTACCCTAGACTACCCAGCCTACCCTAGACTATCCGAATGTCTAAATGACTCTAAGACTGACTTTGATACCCAATCTGGAGCGCACTTTACCCATTAAACAATTTACCGAACAATTTCTAAAGCTTTAAAAAAAATCCATTTTATTATATTGCATCTAAGCAAAACTAAGCAAAAAAAAAAGCAAAACTAGCAAAAATTTTTTTTTTCTTTTCTTTTTCTTTTCTTTTTCTTTCGTTTGCTAAAGTGTGCTCCAGCTAGTCACATGGTTTTTCGTCGATCGATTCTTTCCTTCTAGATTTCTCGCTTTCCATCCAATCTCCAATCTCCAACCAGTAATTTTTCATTTTCCGAACTTTTTCTCCAAAAAAAATCATTTCGATTTCCATTTTGCCTTCCACCAAAATTTCCCCATTCAATCTCTTTCAAATTCCAGTTTCCATCATAGAATTGTGCGGGTGATTTGTATAAAAAAAAATGGTGTTACTTTGTTCGACCCTGATGGCCACGACAGCCCTTCCCGAGTTGCCGTCTCCATTCGATTTGTCCTCGTCAACCACATCTCATCATCAGGATTTCTTCTATCGGGTACCGGACAGCCTCCGACCAGTCTACCGGTCGTGCGAGCCCGCCGAGCCGATCCCTCTTGCGAGGTGCGTTTTGAGAATGGCTAAATTTAACATTTTTAAACACATCAGTGCTTAGTTTTATAAGTTTTAAAGTTAGTTCTGGATGACACTAGAGTTGTTGAGCTTGTTATTTTAAAGTTTGAATGGCATAAAGCTTAACCGAATTAGTTCGGTTTTGAGAATGGCTAAATTTAACATTTTTAAACCCATCAGTGCTTAGTTTTATAAGTTTTAAAGTTAATTCTGGAGGGCACTAGAGTTGTTGAGCTAGTTATTTTGGAGATAAAATGGCATAAAGCCTAACCGAACTAGTTCGGTTTTGAGAATGGCGGGATTTCACAAATTTTAAGCTGTCATTTCCTTCTCCAATCAGTCAAAGATTAATCCTGGACCGCATGACATTTGCCAAGCTGTCTTTCAAAAGATCTCCTGGGATTAGAAGCGATTACGAATATTCTCATATTCTCAGCACCCCCAATAAGTACAAACGATTTAAGAGCTTCACGAAAAAAATAAGCCCGGATTTGAGGGGAAAATCTTTCAATCTGGAACTCATAAAAGCCGACAAGCTTGATTTTAACTCGATTTGAATGACTTGAACTTTAAATGCAAATTGGCTTCTTCTTAGTGACGTCATTGATTGATTGATATTGATTGAATGCATTCCTTTTCCAGGAATCGCTCCGAGTCTCCATTGTCATCATCAACGGACTCGATCGGCTCGTGGCGTTCCATTCGGTCAGCCGCCGAGCGTCAATCGGAACGCGAAGCGAGAAAGCGTTTGTTGGACATCTCGGCCGGGAAATTGCACGGAGCTCGCGATCCCCCACTCCGCAAACATTTGCACGTCTACAACACCATCAAGGCGTTACAAGTGCGTGCCAGCATTGACCATTTTCTTCAAATCATTCTCTCAACTTTATTCTTTAGCTTTAAAATAAGCCAATCTTTTTTTTTTTTCAAAAATTTTTTACAATTTTAGCGAGATCTCGAATTGCTCGATTTGGAGGACTTGGAAACGGAACTTTTATGCAATCTCACAAATAATAACGAGATGGAGGTGGACGAGTGGCCAAGGAAACATCAGCAAGACTACCAGCAACACCAGCAACACCAACAACACCAGCAACAACAACCCATCACCTTCGACAAGGTTCAAGTAAGTCAAAAAAAGAAATTTTCAAAAATATTTATCAATGCTGGAAGTCACTAGAAAGATTAGTGAAGAAAAATTCGCCTTTTTTATAAAATAAAAATTTTGATTGACTTCAATGGTTTTTTTTATTTAAATTTTATAAAAATTAAATTTTTTTTCAAAAATTCAAGAATCCTGGAAGACAAACTTTATAAAAATCAAATTTTCACTTTTCTAGGAACCGGAGATGACTTGGTGGCACTCATCGCCGAGCGTGATGAGCAACAACAACCAATTACAACAAGGGGCTTGGGTCGGCTCCTCGCGCGACGATGAGTCAACGATCTTCCCCATGAGCGGTAATACCGGCAACAGTTGGGGCTCGCCTTTGTGGGCACATCTGGACGACTTTTCGGCAAACCCGTTGGGCGGCTCGTGGTTGTCCTCCGGAGAGCTCTCATCCCTCTTCGCGCCACATTTGCACGCGGCGTCGTCGTCGGCATCGAGCGGGCTCCTCATGCAAGCCTAGTGCGATCGTGAGCAGAAGAAAACGTTAGAATTAGTCTTTCTGGAGCACACTGGAGCTGATTTAAGATCAAAGTTTTGAAAAGAGCGAAATTAAGCTTAGCCTAGCCTAGCCTAGCCTAGCCTAGCTTAGCCTAGCTTAGCTTAGCTTAGCTTAGCCTAGCTTAGCCTAGCTGAGCCTAGCCTAGCCTAGCCTAGCTTAGCCTAGCCTAGCTTATCCTAGCTTAGCCTAGCTTAGCCTAGCTTAGCCCCAGAGTGCTACAGTACCCCCAACCCATTAGAAAGCCAGCAGCTCGTGCCGATGCTCGTCGCCGTGTGTTCAATGCGATCCAGCGTCATCGATTGCCCCAATTTCCAGCATAAATTTGCCTCTCCCTTGTACGAAATCTCTTCACTATATCGAATCCACTTTAATACGTGTCTCCCTGTTTCTGTAAATTCCCTGGCGACTAGTTCAAAGTGTTTCCTGGGTGGCAGGACGAGTTTTCAAAGGAAAATTTTAGAGTTTATTGCCACTTAGGAAATTTTTCGATCTCTACTATATCTACCAACTTATATGATCATTTTCTCATCAACCAATCGAACAAAAAATGTATTTATTTTGTACATTAACTCTTGAATTGCTGAATTGCTGAATTACTGAATTACTGAATTGCTGACCGATCACCGAGTAGACCACGAAATTTGCATGTGTATAGAAAATAGAGAATTTGCGGGCCTCAAAAAAAAGCCTAAGCCAAAAGCCTTTTTTTTGCTGTGTGTTTTGTGTTCGATTAGTCTCATAGATGTCATTTCCCCCACATTTAACGGTGTAAAACATTTCTGTGCCCTCCATCATCATGTTTTTTTTGGCTACTCTCCGTGATTGCCAATCTCTGGTCGCTTTTCCTGGGCAGCCAAAGGGGTCGAGAATATAGGACTGGAGGATTTGCCGTGCCGGCTTTCGAGCTTTCATGGGCATTCTTTCGATTTTGCCCATCCTGGCACGCAACTTGAATTTTCTATTTCACAAAATAGCACAAAGTTCACAAAATGCCAAGTCCAGTTCTCGACCTCGACGGCTCTCCTCTCAAATCTCACTCGCCGAACAAACGTGTCCACTCCCCCCTCCTGAAAATCGTCTAGAATTCTGTTGTGCCCTCCAGTTTGGCCAGATCGGCTCGATCGGGTCTCCTAACTTGACATTGACGTGTGCAAAAGCCCGGCAAAAGGAATTGAGATAATTTTCGATGGTTATATGCAAATTTTAAAAATCCCAATTTCTCAGCCAGTCCCATTTTCATCTCAGCTCCGATTACGGTATAATAGTATTTTTCCCCACGCATTAGTCAGCCATTTCTTCCTCTCTCGTCTCTCCGAAAAAAAAATCTCTCAATTGTTGCTGTTTTCATTTCCATTCAAAAAAACCTCGGTTCTCATGCGGGATTTCAAATTTCTCATAGTTTTTCCATGTTAGCTGGATGTCACCAGGGCTCGCTTGGGCTAGCCCTAGCGGGCCCTGGCCATCTACTGAGTTCACCCTACCCCCCAACGGGTCACCACCACCACCACCACCAACAATTCTAAAAAACGACAATCGTGTCTTTGTGCAGATTTTCTTGCTTCTAGATCCACTGTGCACTCCAGTTCGCCGCCTAGATACGGTTATTTTTGATTTTCGTTCTTCGTTCATCCTTTTGACCCCCCTCCAAAAAATCCTCCCCAAAATCTTCCCCCATCTTCCCCCATCTTCCCCCATCTTCCCCTATCTCGTGTACATGTATGGCCAGTTGTTTGCTATTGTCAGGGACTCTAAAAAAAAGTACTTTACACTCATTTCGTGTTTATTTTCAAAAAAGGTCCGGGTTTAAATCTTACAAAAATTTCGAATTTCTCGAATTTCTAGCCTCACCATTTTTCTGGTGCATTTTGATTTTTCGTTTATGCGTTTCTCGGGGCGGGAGCCGAGATTTCTTAGCCAAAACACTCCGATGACATCCAGATTGCTGGTTTTCACAAAAATAATCCCCACTTGCCTCGGAAATCTCGCTCGAAATCGCCCAGCCCCCAGTCAGACCCCTCAACGTGTATTTTCGCGGTACCCCTTTTGCCTAGTTTTTCTTTGTGATCTTTACACGGTGATATCCAGATAGCTGGATTTCGCTTGAATTTTTCGAAAAAAATTTGCCTATCACCTTTCCAAGCTATTCTTCTCAAATTTCTCAAATTTCGCGTGTATTTGTGCATTTTCTGGATTTCTCAGTTATGCTTTTTTCGATTTTTCGATTATTTTCCCAAAAAAAACCACGGTTTTTTGTATATGCTTTAAAAAAAAAACAATAATCCTCGCCACAATTCTCTTTTTTTTTTTTTCGAAATTTCTCAAAGTGATACGGTTTTTTTTATGTCAATTTTTATCTAATCATATTTATTTTTTTCTTTTTAATCCCGCGAAAATCGTGCACTCAAATTTGAGCTCTAAATTGATTAGAATGCAAAAACAAAAAAAAACAAAGCTCATATTTGAGTGAAACACAGTCTGACTTTTTTTCCCCCGATCCCCGAGTACTCAAAGATACGAGTTTTCAATTAAGCTAAGAACATTTTATTCGGTCCGTTTTTCTTTTTTTATATGTCCCTTGCATAGTGTGCTTCTTTCCATACCCTGTAAATCTTGTAGGGGCGCGATGGGGTGGATAGGGTCGAGTAAAGTTGAGTAAAGTTGAGTAGAGTCGAGTAGAGTCGAGTAAAGTTGAGTAAAGTCGAGTCAAATCGATTCAAATCGATTCAACTCGAGTCAAATCGATTCAACTGGAGTCAAATCGATTCAACTTGAGTCAAACCGACTCAACTCGAGTCAAATCGATTCAACTTGAGTCAAACCGACTCAACTCGAGTCAAATCGATTCAACTTGAGTCAAATCGATTCAACTTGAGTCAAACCGACTCAGCTCGAGTCAAATCGACTCAACTCCACCCAAGTCGACCCCGTCTCCCCTCCTCCCTTTCAGCCCGTCATTTGTCATCGTTTTCGACCACCATGAGCCCGGGAAACTTTAGATAACTTCAAGCTGGAAAGCACAGCACTCAAAACAACTCAATATTCCCACGGCTCATGGTTTTTTTGTTTTTGGGTGATTGAATCGAAATTATTTCTCTTTTCAATCACCCAACCGATCTTCGATTTTGGCCCCAGAATGTTCATTAGAAAGTCTTTTTTCAAAAAAAAACCCCACTTCTCTCAAGATACTACCTATAAATGTGATCAAAAAAATGTGTGTACATAATACCGCCACAAATGTTTTTTTGTTTTAAAGGGCTGGGCATATTTTCGGGAAAAGCGTCCAACTTTTTGAAATTAAACGTTAATTTTTGCAAATCCTGGACCACATCGAGAATATTCTCATCCACAGCGACCCGGAATTCCTTTGGGAAGACCGTGCGTAAAGTGGTGCGTCGCGTACTCGTTTGGGGTATTCTGGAAACGTCTGGCTACTAAGCTAGAAAGCTAGAAAGCCATTGTGCTATCCAGATTACCCTACTCGAGTATTAGGGTCACTGATTTACGCGAAGAATTCCCGAGAATTTTAATCCGCCTCATCTCGTGCTTGCTGGCACTTCTCTCATTGTAAAAACGTTTTCTCTCCTCTTCACGACGTGTACAAAAAAAATGTGTGTCGAAGCCTGTGTGTGTGTTTTCTTTGCGTTTTCTTTGCGTGTTCTCTTTATTTCTTGATTGTCATGATCCCATCTAGTGATATTTCTCTTTACTTCGAAGTGTGCTCGCGTTGCGTCGCGTTGCGTATTTGAACCAACCAACGTTTGTTTCCACTCCGTTGCAATTCGTGCTATCTCATCATTTATCATTTTTTATGCGATCATGTGCACTCCAAATAAATGTTATAATTTAAAATCGAAAAGGAAAACGCGAAAAATCGCTTTTAAATCTCGACAAACACGTTCACATTGAAAAATCCACAATTCAAATGTTAAAGCAAATCATTTTTCCAGTTTAAATCAAAGTTCTGGATGTCACTGAATAGTTTTATAAAAAGAATTATCAAAATTATTGTGTTTTAAAATTTTCAAATTCAAGCATTCAACTTCGACGCTGAAAATCGTTTAAAAATCGTAAAAAGTCAAAATTTGAAAAAATTTTCTTAAATCCTGGATATCATGTCTCTCATTGCATCAATTTAAAAAAATGTTTTCTCTATTTTTTTTTAGATTCGGGTTCTCTTCATGATTGCCCTTGAGCTCTTTTGAGTGAGTGCGGGGGTGAAGGGGCAATTTTTCTCCAACTCTTCCACTTTTCCCCCAAAAAAAACACGATTCTCTCCGAGTCTCACCGACGGGGAACCTTTTTTTTCCTTTCGAGTACTCAAAATAGGGAAAACACCAAAACTAAAAACCAAACAAGCGACCTTTTCGAGTTCAAGTTAATTTAAAAGGATTGGATTTGTAAAATTGAACAAAAATCAATGAATTCTTCAATCTGGATGGCACACTTGGATTTGAAAAAGTTTTTGAATCGATCTAAACGATTTACGACTTTCGGATTACTGTAATTGATAGCTGAGTATCTGATAGCTTAAGGATATTGAGAGTTGATTTCAATTTCAAGATCTAGCCAATCTGGATGGCACACTTGGATTTGAAAAAGTTTTTGAATCGATCTAAACGATTTACGACTTTCGGATTACTGTAATTGATAGCTGAGTATCTGATAGCTTAAGGATATTGAGAGTTGATTTCAATTTCAAGATCTAGCCAATCTGGATGGCACACTTGGATTTGAAAAAGTTTTTGAATCGATCTAAACGATTTACGACTTTCGGATTACTGTAATTGATAGCTGAGTATCTGATAGCTTAAGGATATTGAGAGTTGATTTCAATTTCAAGATCTAGCCAATCTGGATGGCACACTTGAATTTGAAAAAGTTTTTGAATCGATCTAAACGATTTACGACTTTCGGATTACTGTAGCTGATAGCTGAATATCTTTTCAAGATTTTAATTT